CCTGTACATTACCTGACAGGTGAGCAGAGACCGTAAGCAAAAAGCTGTGAAGTATGTCAAGCAGCTAAAGAGACCCAAACCACTTGTCAGGTTGTCTCCAGCTGAATGTTTGTTTGAGTCTGTAACATCAGTTTGCAAGTTTGTTCACCATTTTCCAATTCATGTCAGTAAGTAATAACAAGTCAGGGTCTTGTAAATAGTTTGCTCTGCTATTTCAAACAACTTACAATGATTAGTTCTCTCTAAGAAAAACAACATTGCATTGATCAATATTCTGTCATCCAGGGGCAGACGAACATCAAAACAAACCGTCAGACACACAGCAACAACCTGAATTGGATAACATTGCAATAGCTGCAGTGTAAGAAAACAAGGCCACCCTTCACCCAGTCGAAATATACAAACTTAAACATTCATCTCTCCCTCATTTTGTTTCCCCATCTGTGGATTATTATTCAGCTCTGTTTTCAGTTTTCACTGGCAGCTCACAGTGGTTGAGGTAGTCTTAAAAAAAAAAAAAAAGGGACCAAAACATGGACAAAAGAGAAGTCTTAATTCCTCTTATGTGTTTGTGTTTGTTTTCCACAGGAGCAGTACCAGTACCTTTACAAAGCCATGCTCAGCCTGGTCGGTAACAGGGAGTGCAGCCTGAGCCCCATGCACATGGACACTAATGGGGTGGTGGTGATTGCGGATGAGTCGGACCCTGCAGAGAGCATGGAGTCACTAGTCTGAGGACTTTCTCACAGGCACTTAATTTGTAAAAAAAAAAAAAAAAAACAAACAAAAAAAAACTCGAGAACTTTTCTGAGGCCTTTTTTTTGCCAGACTATTGATTAATGAATAACCTTATTACTTTTTATACTGATAAAAGTTTTTTGATATTTATGTTTTTGTCCTTTATTCTCTTGTCTTATTTTGTTATCCTGCTGAGCGTTTGCACCTGTTTTAAGTTGACGTGAGGAAAAAAAGCAGCTCTGTCCAGTTTGCACTATACTATCAGTGTTACTGCCTAAATCCAGTGAGTGAAAAAAAAAAAAACATCCTGGCATCACAACACATCCGGAATCTATCCAACCGCGTCAGGACAGACACCTGAAGCATGAAGACCAGGAGGAGTTCAGGCGATCCACTTCTTATGTGTCAAAAGAAAACATCACATCACGACGTAGCCCAGCATGCATTGAGTCACTTTGTCACCTTGATCAAACTGTATTGAGGCTCCGCCCACATGGGGGTCAAAGCTCTTAATCACATGCTAAGAGACGATTACCTGCCTATTATTCATATATTGTCCAAATATCTCACTGCTGTCTCGTATAATGTACTTATTGCTTATTTTGGTTGTGTTACAACATCTAATGTGAACCTTTATTGCTTTTTACAGGGATTTATAGTGTTCTATTGTTTTGTAATATATACGTATATATATTATATCCTTCATAGCCAGCATATATTGTTCTTGTTTAGGATTTTGCTTCTATGTCCAATGGCCATGGTGAAGTTAATTTGTTTTTATTTTGCATTATGTAACTTGTTATAATTTATCTACCGTACATAGCTCAGTTATGTCCTTCCTTTTTTATTCCAGCTTTTTCAACTCCAGCTATCAAAGCTCAACTGTTACCACATGTAATGGTTTTATCTGTAGTGACACAGGACAACGTCTACAAGAACTATTCACCCCACACAAACCTCTCTGTCATATTGAATTGCATTATGAAAACACATTGGATGTAATTTGATTTTACTTTTTGGCGCATAAATAAAATAACCTTTCAATTTGAATGTGGAGACAAATTGATTAAACTGACAAAGCTCCAAGTGGACACAACATTGATTGGACAAGTATTCACCCCCCGCCCCCTCTTTATGACAATATTTATAAACAAAGTACAAAGGCTTTGCTTTCTGTTCATGACGAAAGCTTTGTTCATCCGGACCCATTTGCAGTTTCTCCTGTTGCTCTACCAAAGTTCAGTGAGATTGTGAGTGCAAAGCGAAGTCCTTCAACTCATTCTGAACCTGAGACTGAGATTTAGAAATGTGACTCAGCCACTCCAAGACTTTTTTTTTAAATAAAGTCTTATGTATCTTTGGCTTTTTACTTTATCACTAAATTGCTGAAATCTTTTTTTGCTTGCAACTGAGCCAGAATCCTCCACAGAAGTATTTTTGGATGATTTGACCATAAACCTTTGGCTATGTCACAGACTTTCCCTGCATGATTTTATTTTCACCAGAGGCTTGTTCTTTGAGACTGGTTAAATGTCTCCAATCTCAGCAATGACACCCTGCAGCTTCTTCAGGGCGCCCTCACCCTCTCTGTAGTCTCTCTTCTGACCTCGCCACAGTTTTAAAAACCGTTTTTTCAGCCTGAGCCGCTCTAGGCAGATTTTAAAGCTGTGCTTTATTCCTTCCATTTTTATTATTGTACTAGGGAGATCCAGTGCCTTGGAAATGTTCTCAAATCCTTCTTGTGATCAGTTATTTTCACTGATGTCTGATATCCTTTGCTTTCATAAGGCAGTTTTGCTGAGAAATGCAGCCCATTAAACAGCAGTCAGACTTGTATTCAGATACAACGAATCAGTAGTCAAACACAAATTACACATGTGATCTCCATCAAACGGATTGTGTGACGTGCAGAATCATTGACTTGAATTTCATACTAAGGAGATGAATTCTAGTGCAATCACTGTTTTTCTTCTATTTCTTCTAAGTTTACAGTCAGTCTTTAAAAAGTCCATTTTGTGTTGATCAGTGTAAAATCATCATAAATACATCCATTGTGATTCTTAAATGTCAGGAAAGCGTGTAGAAATCCAAAAGTGGTGAATACTTCCTGTAGACACTGTTTTTCTTTGTGGTTGGATTGATGCTTTATTTGTAACCAAAGATGTGGTTTCCGGTTTGTACCTGATGGTTTTTGGCCAGAGAATTATAAAATCACTTTTTGAAATTTGAAAGCAAAGTGTAAAGGCTTGCCGTACAGATTGCCAGTGACGGTACGTTTCTGACTTCACCCTCAGAAACTCACCTTACTGTTGAATGTCAGCGCACACAAGGCTTTCCTCACCATAGACGACAAGATTTAAAGTGCAGACTGTAACCTTTTTCCCTTTATTTGGGCCCATATTCTGCCTCTGCACTCTTTCGTGGCTAACAATTATGAGTGCTTTTCAAAGATCCCTCTTTCTTGATATTTGTACATCTTCAAACCTTAATTTTTTCTGTGAACATCCCCTGCTCTGACAGAGGGGAGTTTGCTGAATTCAGTGAAAACCTCTCCAACATTTGGAGAAAAGTCCAGATTTTATGATCGCTCTGCTCTGCTATTTCGCTTCCTTTGCAACATTTTCTTCCTATCGAATGAATGCTAATGGTCCTATCTGTTTGGTATTTCTACGCTCATTGAAAACACGAGTGCTGTGTCTGAACACATTTACTTTGAAAATGACATTTCTTCTGACTTTAATGTAATCTTTGTGATCACAGAAGTGTATATTTTTTATACAAGATTTGGTTTGTATAGTGCCCCTGTAACAGATTGTACTTTGGTGGGAAATGTATTATCAAGAGATCCACAAAAATCCCACTTAGTCTTACTTGCACCTGTAAGGTCCATACTGACATTTAAAGCAGATTTTCTTGAGATGAGATCTTCTGTCCAGGTATGCAGTGTGTCAGCCTCAGTGCATTTCCGCCAGGTTGGTAGTTAAGTCTATTTTGTAATTTAAAGAAAACAAGAAATGGTTTTGTCCATAATATCACGTTTATATGATAGTATCATAGCCATACATTTCTATGATGCTGTCATATAAACTATCTCTAGTGTAATAGTGTTATTTAATAGGTAATTGTATTGCTATATATTAAATAAAGTTTGGGTTTGGGTGCACAGCCTCCCTGTTTCGCATGCAGTTACTGATGGAGGAGTTTTATCTCAAACTGACATGATGAAAAGCAAACCAAACTTGTTTTTGTTATTTCACTCGCTGCTGTCAGCCTGCGTTTAAACAACAGCTTCTGAAGAGGTTTCAAGACCTTTAATTAAATAAAAGTAGTAAACACACAATGAAAATATTCAGTGATTTAAATGTTAGCTTAAGTAGCATGTAGCCTAGGAAGGCTCGTTAATATCGAGCTAATCTTAAATAGAATGTACCTGACCGTGTTTCTTGTGTGCGCATTAAATGTGTACTATAAATCTGTAAAATGACTTCTTTACAGTAACTTAACTCAGTATGGCTGAGAATACAAAATAGCCCCGTTGACGTGGTGAGGGCAAAAAATTGCAAAAAATAAAATTAAGTACAAGAAGCCTAACCCTGGTTGTTACCATGGGGATGTTAATTGCTTTATTATTTATAGTCTGGTTGGCTTGGGGATGAGCGTCATGTTTTTTAATGCTTTATGCGTTTATTCGAGTTTATTTGGTGAAGTAAGCACAATTGACAGAAAGCCCAATTTAGCATTTGTTGTTAATTACCCATTAATTTAATAACTGTCTCATGATCATTTTAATACGCAAGTGAACAATTCCCATTTCCCTTTGTGATGTCACAAAGGGAAAAAACTCCAATCGCCTGTTCCAGCAAACACCTTCTGAAAAGTGGAGCACGCAAATGACAGAGGATGGACCTTTCCCATAATTAGGGGGTTTCTAGAAAGGCTAGGGGACATGTTTGAAAAACACGGTAAAGTGTATTCTGCAAATTATGTGACCTATAAAACTTGAATATTCTCAGGCAAGTACTAGATGTAGAGGGTTTCTAAGCGGGTTAATGGGTGTTAATTCATGATTAATTAATAACCTGGGAATAAGAATGTCCATCTGAAAGCTAATACCACATCATGTGTGTTGGTAAATCTGACTGATAAAAGATAACTAGTAATACTTTGGAAATGTAGGCTTCTTTTCACCAGTCAACTTAAGCACAGCCCACTGTTCAGTGAACATATATAGCCCTTTTGCAGCTAGTAAACAGGACAGCGGATGCACATGTACAGTAATTTTTATTTAGAGGCCACAGCTCTTGCATATTACAACTGTTGGCTTTCATAAGGCAAAAGCAAGAATGAATCCACCAGCTAATTCACACAGAAAAACAGAAAGCGTTTGGGGAGGGTGGGAACCCACAGGCATGCAGCGATGGCTCAGAATGCAATGTACAGCATTTTATATTTATATATATTTATAGAATATATACAAAACAACAGTGAGACCCAAACAAATGCCAGACATCTCATTCTACACAGTTACAGAACAAAGACGGACCAACTTTTTTTTTTTTCAATAAAAAAAAATATTTTTGCTCTTTTCTCTGTAAAAGTGCAACTCAATTCAAATAGAACCTGTTTCAAGGCCTTTTAATGTTGAAATAAAAATAGAATCTCCCAAGTTATCAAAATGGAGCTATGAGAATATTGCATCTCTAGAATACCCACTTGTTGAAGTTCAAGATTCCTAATTAGTAATTGAGATAAGATCACATAGTATTGACACATGATAAAAATGCAGGTCTAGACTTGCTGCCGATGTTAGGAACAGTGAGTAGACGACAGTCTATCTGCAACAGCCGTAAACAAATACAGAGGTTTCTTTTCAGTTTGAAGCAGTTGGCATTCACTTAAAAACAGACAAGACAAAGAAAAGGGTCCACACACTCATCATCACGACAATGTACCATTAATGAATGTAGAATACGACAAAGAAGCGCCATATAGGATTGCATTGGACAGGGACACACCTATTTAATCTCACTCAACATTGTCAAACAAATGGTTCTCCATATTGCTTAGTAACACATAGAAATGAATTTAGAAATGAATGAATCAAAGATAGGTGCTATCTTTATCATGACAGCTAAACTGCCAATCATGGTTATTTTTTAAATATTTTTATTTAGATTTTCCTCAGTATAAGTACTATTTTTATAGTTAATATTTCCTTCATAGGCATTTCGAGCTGACAAAGAGGTCCTAGAGTGGCTATCTGAGTTGGTACATGCATCGGTAACCAGGCTAAAGTCAAAAGTGTGATAGGGGGCTCGGGGTGAGGGTGGTTCAGTGTACTGGGCTCTAGTCATCGTCTTCATCCTCCTCATCGCTGTCCTTCATGGAGATGCCCTGCATGCCTCCTTCCCTCACTGAAGCAGTGGCCTCCTCCAGGGTCAGCCTGTTACGCACCGTGTCGTACATCTTAGTGTTGAGGGTGGAGTCAAGGACGCCCTGCAGGCGGAAGTCCCGGTACTTTTTCTACAGGAGGATAACGATACATCAGCCAAGAACTCTGGGTGTTTACATCGACATTAACAAAAAGGCATGTCTGCACACTCACTCCATGCCACAAATACGTTTCATAATTAAGTAGTGATACCTCATAGTCAGGTTGAAGAAGTGTAAACTAACCCCATTACTATACACACTGCACACCCACAGGCTGAAAACTCTGAAATGTTAGGTGAGGTTAATCATCTACACAACCCAGGGCGATAAAAATCGGATAGAATTTGCCCACCTACTGATTTTTGGGCAACTAAAAATACCACTGATAGTGAAAATAATGTAGGCAGTATCTGTATTCAGGTTAGCAAATAGATATGTGCCAGATTTGTGTAACGTTTATTCACTATTTGTCGTCTTTTCAGCTGTTGATAAATCAAGAAGCAGTGAAACAATAATGATTACTCGGATACCCTACATTTTTAAATCTGAAAACATGGCAAGTAGCATCGTAACATAGCGGCATTTAAGCTTCCCACCCTGAGCGCAACATCAAAGGAAGATGGGTGTCTGTACAAATATGTTTAATTGCAATACATTTTTTGTGTCAAGAAAGCCCTCTTTACACAAAACAGACATGCATACTGTATGCCTATTTTGTTCATACTGTTCTGATTTCTCTTCGCCTTTGTCAGGTGTGTTTAATACTCTCCCACCTGCGTTTGAATCAACCCGACAGGTGTGTTTTCATGGCTCTACCTTTGTAATCCTGATGAGGATTTTCAGCTGGTAGACGTGGAGCTGCTGATCCATGCGTTCAGTGAGCCAGGTCCCCAGCAGGTTCATGGTGGCAGTGTACCATTGCTGAAACACATAAACACAGCACTCTCCAGCAAATCACACACTCACACACATACTCAAGACAGCATTACGCTAACCGTTGAGACACACATAAAAGAACTAAACGCATACAGTATATGATAGCAACATTAAGCTTCAAGCACTCTCAAGGGTATACTTGAACATCACTTCAGTAAAATCTCCTCACAGCTTTAAGACACTGCAACGCAGCATTTCACGTCACCCATGTGTGCAGTCACACGCCCCTTTGTGAGGATTGATGTTGAGACTTTACCCCACCTCAGCAGACACACATTCTTGTTTTTTCATCAGACTGAATCAGTGATTAATGCAAGTTAACAAGCTGCATTATTAAAAAAATTAGATCTTAATAAAAGTATGTAATCAGTCAAAATGATATACTAACTACAGTTAAATGTTTAAACGGCGGTTTTCTATCATGCATATGAACTTTAAGCAGTAACTTTATGACTGTTATAGTCTTTTTTTATGTTTAAAATACCTGCAGGTATTCCTTGTGTAAATAATCAAAGTGTGTAAATTAAGTCAGGGCATCTCTAACACGACCATTAGGCATATATATCCCCATAATTAGTCACAGGGTAGATTGAGTTTGCCACAATGAAATGTGTCCAACAATTAAAGGTTTTTGTTATCATAGAGTGAGGGAGACTTCTGGCTGACGTGCGCACTCTTCCAATATATGTACCAATCAGTGTGGGTCCAGTAAACATGTAAACATTGCAGATATACTCGTGCGTAATGATGAAACGTGGATGTTTTGGCAGTGGAGGACAGTGTGAATGCAGCAGCATGGGGTGTTGATTTTGATTTAGTTTGTGACCCTTCTGCTGCAGAAAACTACCAATATGTGCTTTCTGACCGCCACTTCATTCAACAGCTCCTCCACTTCTGAGTCAGAAAGTTTACTTTCTTTGTCTAACTTCACAAGATGCTTTGCATTGACCGTTTATGGTTGAATGTGGGCGTTTAGAGGGTGGAATTTGTGCCTGACCTACGTGCGCACATTTCCAGGTGGATCGTGATTTATAAAGGGAACATTGCGTGCAGGTTTGCGTACTAACGGTTTCATAAATCTGAATTATTTTGGGCGCACGCCATTTCCAGGTTTTTGCCGCACAAACACTTTTAGTATGCATTCTACATGACCTCAGGTCACTTATTGTATTTGTACTCAGGTGTGTAAACAAATGAAGGTAATTTTATGCGTCACTTGAGAGTCATACTAGATGTTTCCCCTAGTTTCAGTCTTTATGCTAAGCTAAGCTAACAGTCTGCAGGTTCAAACTTTTCATTAAGCCGACAGAAAGTTGGCTTTTGGGTCAGGAAAGTTACAAAAAAAAAAAAGCCAACTGCAGAAAAGCTCAAAAGTTTTAACGGTTCTATGTGCATCACTGATCACAAAATAAGCTTTGTGAGAGGAAAGGTCTGCAGAGCCTTGAGATGTAGAAAACACATGTACCTGCCTACACCTGGTTACTCAACAAATTAAATCTAACCACATATAAAATCTAATTAATTTATACCTCCTTGAAATAAGTTTTAAATCTTCTGATTTTGAGCCTCACTGTTTGTGTCAGTGTCGTCACACACACACCCAAACACGCACAGATGCACACATGCACGCACACAGAAATGCAAGAGCACACTCCAAGTTTGACAGTCACATAAACTGACCTGAAAGAGCTATTAAAGAGGAAACACTTAAAGCTCTGAAACTACTGCTACTTGAAGAAGATAATAAAACAATGATGTCATTAAGCATTGACAGATACATCTGTCTCAAACTGTTATTAGCCACAATAATACTAAAAAAAATGTACAAGTCAATATATTGTAAAAGCTGCATGGCCCATCAATTATGTAAAGCTATTACTTAGCCTCTGTTTATAATGTATTAAAGTAGAAAAGCATAGCTGCAATTAAAACCCTTACACTGAAGATAGTTAACAGCTACTGTACGGGGAATTGAAATTATAGCTTTGACACAAGTTCATTAGCAAAAGAAAAATAGAATGAGAGTGAGTCAATGGTTAGCAGGCAGGGGAGCGGTGGTGCTATTTTCTTGAACCTTCTCTGTATTTTTCTTTTGCCAGTATAAAGTTACAAGAGAACAGCACCCGAGGCTGATAAAACGGTCGTCATACCTTTAATCCCAAGAAAAAAGAAGTCAACTTTAAACATGTGAGTAGGCAGGAACGCAGAGAAGGTTTCTTAGGGTCGGATTTAGAAGTGTGAGGTTTTGATTTGTTTGTTTTTCTGAGTTTGGTTTTCAGTCGAGGTTTGTTTGGATCAAGATTGGGTGAATGGTTGAAAGGTTTGAAACTTGAGGCCGGATATGCAGATGCCTGTCCACTTCACAGTCGAGTTGAGCGTGCAGTGCATGCAGACCTCGCAGGTGGGTGGGTGGCAGAGTACGTGCTAAGGAAGACTGCTGTATGTGCAAATGAGGCAGAACTCTGAGGAGAAGGGTCATGCTAGAAGATGTACACAGGAAGATTATTTGACTCTAAAACTCATGCCAACCAACATAATGTGAGAAAACAACGCAACGCAACACTAGAGATAAGTGCCACTTTTTGAAGAGAGGAGGCAGCAGGAATGGTGTTAATCAGAAAAGGAGCAGATAAAAAAGATTGAAATCAATTGAGTGAAAGAAAGAGAGATAAAGTAGAGCCTATGCAACACATCTAGAAACAGTTTTTCACATGCATGCAAATGGATGGATGGAGCGCATTCAAATGAAAGAGAGAAACATTGACATCCTTCAACTGAAATGCAGTTTAAAAAAAGCTCAAACTGAAACATTCACAGCTGGAGAAATCTTCAGAGGAATTTAACATGACAGAGCTGAGAAGGATTTGGGTGACTTTGGGGCCACACAGAGGACACAGAGGGAGGGGGCGGGGACTCCAGACTATTAAAAAAAAAAACAACTGACAACACGGAAGGAGACAGGGGAGCTGGTGTGGATCCAAAGACAAAAGCAGACCCACTTCACAACAGCATCACTCCTCAATCCAAAAGAAAGAAAGAACGTAATCATATTTATCTGGCACAAGACTCCTGCTCCTCCAGCCAACACAAAAATATCAAACCATAGGGAGACTTCTGAGTATCTCTCAGACATAAAAAAAAACTGTCAGACACGCCACTGCCTCACAGAACCAAGAATCTCTCTCTCACACACACACACACACACACACACAGACTCACGTACACAAAGCACCCGTAGAGACACAGGTCTATACAAATAGTTTCTGAATGACATGAAGCACACAAATCACAGCATTATGTGTTGTTCAAATCACACATGGAGGACACATTACTGCCAATGTATCCTGTGTAGGATTATTTATTTGTAAGTCAGTGCTCTCTCTTCACCCTCTAACACACTGGTTCCCATCCTTTAGAGTTTTCACTTTTTGACTAAGTACCCTTCAGACTGTTGCACCAGCTGGGTGTACAAATGAGTACAAATTAAGCTGATCAGAATCAGAAATATTTATGAATCTCCGGGGGGAATTTGGGTCATTGTGGAGATAAGCTACAATGGTGGCACCAAATCAAGTTTGTTTCTTGACTTTATTAAATCTAGAGACAGCTCTTCAGCAGGTCTGCCAATACATGTTTCATTAATGTACTCCTCACACTGCTCTTGTCTAGAGCCTGAACAATTTGAGTTTTTCTTCTTTTAAAAAGATATGGATACCAATTTAATAGGGAAAACATTAGCCAATTACCAATTTAGCTGCCATTTTAGGGAATTTCAAACTGGAATGAAACCCACAATTTCCTGTGTGAGTGGAGCAAATCTGCCACAATATTAATACTCAAAGGGTTTCTTAGATACAAGAACTTTATAAAAGAACACGCACAAATGTTGTATTATCAACAAATACTAGTGCAGCTCATCATATGCTTAATGTTGCTGCCTGTTGCGGAAAGTATTGTAAAGTGCTGGACAAACTAGTGATGACAACTAATAACCCAAAACATTTTGATCCTGCTTTTCATTTTCTGAAGAAAAAAAAAAACATTTATTCCCATAGGTTATTATTAGAAAACATTATCGCATTTAAAAGAAATGGTCAGGCTCTAGTTTTGTCAGTCCAAATGTCTATTCTCCATAAAATGAGTGTTATTTTAATTATGAGGAACGCCCTCAGAAGCTCCTGTACTGACAGTATTGGCTTGTAGTTGAATCAGTATAACAGGGTTGACAGTGAAATTCTTTTACATTACAAAAGATACTTATGTTTGTAGGGCAATCACTCTATAGGTTTTTCTTAAGGGTATAAAGTGTTTTAGTACCACAAAGCTAAATAAAATGTTCACTCATCCTGCACTTGGGGGTTTCATATTTTTTCTCAAAATGTTATGTTCCTTCACAAACAGTATCTACAAACTAGTGAGCAGTTATTTGTTGTCCCTTACAATCAAACAGTTAGTGTTTACTTTACATCCAAACTGGTGCAAAACATTCTGAGAAAAGAGTCAGTAAAAATGAAAGGTATTTTGTGATGCAGTGAAGGTTTTCTTTTGCCTTTCTACCTTTTCAAGTCTTGGAACTGTAAAGATTGATCCATTTTTGATTCAGCTTAGGTCTTGACACTCAGGTTGGGAACCAATGCTCATATGGACATGTCAGCCTCTGAGTTTGACATCATTCTCTGACTCTGGCCCATCCAGCAGCAAATCCTTCACCAAACATTTTCAGTTCACAGAAAAACTGCATGGGTGGTTCACTGTGGAGTGAGGCCGAGCAGGCTGAGTGTCTTTTATTCAGGAGGCTGACATGCAAGGGCTGACAAGGGGAAAGTATCTGGAAGGTTAACGATGATGATCCAAATAATCTACGTTAGTGTGCTGGCTATAGATCGTTTGGTTCTTCCAGAGAGCACTGCTTCAGATAATCCTTTTTTTGAGAATGCTTTTATGGACTCTTTGTAAATAAAAGATTCCTTTTTTGAAACACAAAGGCCCAAAAGCACTGTGGTGATGCACACCAGAATGCAGAGGGCAGCAGCTAAAGTTCAGAGAGAAAAGAGACAGAAAGAAAGAGAAAAGTCAAGAGTGGTAGAGGATCAGAGAAGCCTCTTCCGCCAGGTTGAAATACATTTCCTGGTCTAAAAAAATGGGACTTATCCCTCTCTGCCCTGTTGTTTTGCCACATTTTGAAAGGCCCCTCCCTTCTTGTTAGGAGGAGACGGCATCTTACTTACATCAAATAACCTTTCTATATACACCTCCTCATTGACCTTATCACGAAGAATGTCCTGAGAATGGCGCACAAAGGTCACGTAGCCATCGGCCACGTCCATCCCAGGTTTCTGTAAAACAGAACAGGGTCAGGGCTCAGAGGATAACAAACACTTAAACATTACTGTAGTCAAGAGGCAGAAAAGAAACACCACTGATGATTAAAAAGAAGGAGCTTTATATTCAGCTGTATTTAGAAAATATTCAGACAAGCTCATAGTACACAGAGAAGTAGGGTGTTTGGGCACTTACGGGTACATCCACATATTTTGAGGCAGCTTTCACCTGAAATCAGAGCAAAACTGTCACAAAAAAGGCTCAGAGTTTATGTTGTAATGTGTATACTAGAGCTTACACTAAAACTTCATGTTTGACAAGTATGAGCTGGCTCTCTACAAAGCTTTTTTTTTAACAAAAATAAAAACATGATATTTTACAATAATACAATAACACTTTAGTAGAAAGGTACATGGTTATCAGAATAATGATTGAAACTGATCTAACATAAAGTACAAATCGCTTGATTTCCAGAAACAATTCTGAAGATCCTAACTGTTGGGGAAAAGGAGGCAGTGACATTAACAGAAGCTACATCTCACCGTGAATGACATGAATGAGGAGAAGAGAGTTCCTTCATCATATCTGGAAATCTTAGCCAGCACTCCCTCCAGTATGGCAACAAACTGAGAAACAATGCAAACACTTTAGTGAGACTGAGACTCTGCAGCCGTTAAGAAAGAAGATATGTTGTCGTAAGTGAAAGTCTACGAGAAACTGGAACTATGACGAGATGAACATTTCAGGATATTTCAGTCTGATTCTTAGGAACTTAAATCCTAATTTGTATTTAGCATTGATGTCTTCTTTTTATGATCAGTTGACAAGTACGGTAATGCTTTTTTTTTTTTGTCTCACCTTTGCAACCATGAGCTGAATCATGTCTTTCACGCTCTCCTCGATCAGTTCATCGATTTGGGAGGCGAACTGTTTCTGCAAAAACAAAAGGGAGAGAAGTTGACATTCATTTCAAAATTATTTTTGTACGAATATTAAAGTCATTATTTATTTATTTTGACATGTCATTTCTATCCCAGGGGAAGATTTTTACCTCTTGGCCCATCTCCATTGCACACAATTTGGCTGATTGGTCCTTGGCATCCACCATCACATTGAACATGGTGCATAATGTTGGAGAAATGCGGAAATCTGTTGACTTGCTGCTCTTTGTCAGCTTGGACTCAAAAGCCATCCTGGTGCTGAAAAAGCCAGTGAAGTAAAAATAAAATGTGACATATTCACTAAAGGCTTCATTCTCAGCATTTGGTATGTCATACCTCGAGATATTTTGTCAGTGTTCCTCTCATACACAAACACACAATCATACCGCTTGACGCAGTTCTCAATCATGTTGCTCGACATGAGCTTGATGCGACTCTCAAGGTGTTTGGCGAACTCATCCTCAGGCCAGTGTAGGTCTCTGATGAAGGTCTGGAGGGCATCCAGCTTCCAGAAGAGATCCTCTGATGATCCAGAGCCGTTACTGTCATTAACCACACACACACACACACACACACACAGGTCAGAAGACAACGGTCAACCTGCTGGAGGGGAGGAGGTGGGAGAAGTAAGGGAAAGGTTGAGGGGGGGTCGGGGTCGGGGTTGGGGTCGGGGTCGGGGTGGCAGGTGCAGAGGAGGATGCTGTTCCTCCACACCTAAACACAGTCAGATTATACTCCGTATACCATAAACTGACTGATCCGTGCAAATGTATGTTTGTTCAGGTGTTTGCGGACAGTCAGTGTATAGGTGGAACAGAGCGGGTAGGGTTTACTGGAACAAATCAATAACCATGCTGTAGAGTATGATTATTGACCGGGATGTGAAGTGGCCACATGCAGGTAGAGTCACTGCAGATACAGCAGCCAATCACACTGTGTGGGGAATGGAGAAGTGAGGAAGGGCATGTAAATATTACACTAATGGTGCAAGTCTGTTTCCACCAAAAGGGTATAAATACAACTTTTTAAAATAAAGTTCTTCTTCATCACAAGCCCTCTCTCAACATCCATGTCCCCAGGCTGGTTGGGTCCCCTGGGAGTGTTACTAAAACAAACCATGCAGACCTTTTGGGGCACCCTGTGTAGAGCTCATTGGGGAAGATGCTGCAGGAAAGATGTGGCGTGTGAAGAGGACATGATAAAACAGAGAGGATCTGAAACCTCTCCATGCTATCATCTCCAGTCCAGCACGTTATTTTTCCCTCCCAATCGGACTACTAACAGGTAGTCAAGGTCAGAGATGAATCTGAGGCCATGAATGAGCTAAGGTACGCTAAAGATAATGTGTGTGGACAACAACTCTGGGGAGATACATCTTTGATTGCAAGAACATCTTGCAAATGTTTTCAAATGGGGATATCTTTTTTTTTTTTTCTGTGCAGTAAATCCCCAAATCGCCTATATATATCAATGCATATATATTTTGGCCTGTATCTCCACACCTCAGCTCAACTGCATGCATGTTGAGACAAATGAGAGCATTTCAGTGTCTCATTTTAAAAAGCAGTACCCCATCTACTCTAACACCTCTCAGAGCGCTCTTGGCATGAACATGGACGTCATTGTGGAGGATTCCCACGAGAGAAAATAAACCATATTGATCTTTGTTAATATAGATTTGTATATCACAACATTACCTCTCCTCTTAGAGCTATACAGATTTCATTTTCAGAACTTTTCTTCTTTAAATTTTTGAATTGACTTCAACTGAGAGCATCTTCATACCAAGGCAGTCTCTGCTAGCTTAATATTTCTAGAGTGAACTAGTTGAATACACACTCAGAGTCATATATAGCAGCCATCCATGACGGGGTAGAAAAGCTAGGCATTTGTGGAAGGTTAACTGATAGTCCTGCTACTGGCACTGGCAGATTTGGTACTTTGGGAATTTGGAGGTTCACATTTGGTAGATTCACATTGGGCAGATTACTTGTTAAACTCCTGTAGAAAAGACAGACAAAAGAAAAAAAAAAGAATCCATAACAGGGGCATGGGAGCTGCAGAAAGCCATGTAACACTCATCATAAAAGTAACACAAAATCTGAAATTAGGTCAAGACCGTAAACACAAATAAACGAGACTGACAGTCATTGTCAAAGACACATAGTACGAAGACTTTAAGAATAATAAGTGGTCTGAACTCAGAATGCACACACGTACATATATTGTATTAAATGCAGTGAGGAGAAGAAGCAACGCAGTACTGAAATTATAAATAATAATACTGTAACAAATCTTAAATAATAAACCTAGAGTGTGAAAGCCACATCAAATAAATTATAAGAGCAAAATAACAGACTGGAGGCTTTTGTTTCTGGAAAGATGTCAAAGCACACATTATGAAGGTTAGTTAACACAACAAAACAACAGAAATATTAGCTGGTGCCCTGACCCCAATGTGTTGGGGAGATAATACATTAGACTATTTTCAGGATAAATAACCTCTTTCTCTCAGAGAGAAAAATAGGCTATTCAGCCCACTCCTGGCTCATTCTCTAACAGTGATCCTACAGGAAGCCCGGGTGAACATTACAGCTGCTCTCCCAGATTGTTCAGTCTCCACGCAGTTGGTCTGTCATCTGAAAATAAAGCCTCGCATCGCCCACCATCCTACAGCCTAGCTTTATAGACGGAGGCTCCTTACTTTACAGGCTCCCAGGACTCTCGGTCAAAGCCCTTGTGAATTGACTGTGCGATGGAGGACTCCATCAGATCCACATATCTAACCACCAGAGGAGCATACAGATCCTGAAGGTGTTTGTGGAACTTTCCATTGCACAGATGATCTGTGGAGAGAGAAAAAAAAGGGGTCGACCAGCAGTTGATATTGTCTTTGTGTGAGCCTGAAAACAACTTAAGTGGATACTTGGAAAAATATTTGCAGTAAGAACTTACAGTCCATCCGGAGGAAGTCGTTGAGCAGTTGGAATAGAGGGAAGCTGTCCCAGCTCTCAGGTGACTGGATCTCCAGGGCGGCGTCCATGTCGACGGCGTAGAGGGCCAGGAAGTTTTCTGCATGCTCCACCATGAGGTCCGTCCACCATGCAAAAGCCTGGAGACACAGCAGGAAGGACAACAAACAGGTGAACAAGAGCTTCATGTATGAGATGAAGTGACACTATAAATGAAAAAAGAAAGGAGGGAATAATAGAAAAAAACATCAAAATTATCTGGTCATCGAAAACAAATGTATGTGTTTGCTTTATCTATGTTTGTGCAGGTCAAAGGAATAGTTCTACAATTTGGGAATTTGCTTCTGACTGAAATTAGATCAGATGAGAAAAAAAATGAGCCAAATTCCAAAGTACTCCTTTAAAAATGTGTTTATTCCCCTCAGTTGTCTAGATGTAGGAAATAGACTTCATTCATGAATAGTGAGTCACTGTCTCTTGCTGTAGGTGAATTCTTGGTGGATATTTTCCTCTAAACACATCTCAGGGAGGAAAGGACTCACCATCACATCTGTGCGGATAGTTTGTGCATTGTGTGTGACAAGTGTGTGTTTCCGATGGCATACTCAGAGACAGAATCCACTGCTCTTACTGATTAGGACTTTTAGGGAATCAATTCTGGATTAGGTTTACCCGCAGCAAAAGAATCGGACTGTAAGGGTGCATGTTAAATTCATGACAGGGTCAATCGATGTAAGAAAAAAGGTGCTTCTCTCATGCAAATGTGGAGCTCCCTGCATGCGTTTCTCTCAAGCTAAGAGATGAGGGGGGTCCACCATTCACATCACTGACAAACCCATAGCCCGCTAGATGCGAATGTGACTCATGCACATTTTTTTTTTTGGCTAGACACACCGAAGACTGCAGCACACAGCATCTTTAGCGTCTGTTCCAATCATTTAAGTAAGTCTTTGAGATTCAAATGGACGTTTTCTATCACAGTCAGGACCTCCCCGCCCTTTGGTCAGCAGAAGTACAGTATAGCTGCTTTGCTGGCAGTCTTGGCTTGGCTTATTTTGTTTTTCATTCAGACTAAAATGTTGCCAAGTTTGTTAAATGAAGCGTCCTCGTTCTAAGTTATGCTGCATGCTTTATTTTACAGCTGCTCAGTTATTTTCCCATTTGACTTTAGCCCCTACTAGTGGCAGCCACTTACCTGTATACTTACCTTCCCACTCCCAACATTTACAAAAAAACCTTGACAGTTCTAGTGTTAGAGAAGCAGGCAGCAAACAAAGCTCTTCTCCATCACATTCAAGGAGAGAAAGTATTTTTCGCGGGGGGGTTTTAAGGCGAGGGCTGTCAAACGGACACCAAAAAAGCTCAAAGGTCGGTTGGCAGGATAACCCCAAACCTTTGATAGAGTTGAGGGACACATTCAGGACCCTGAGAGCTCTATGACAAGCCCAGTGTTTAATCACGCAGCCTACAATGCCGCATCAACTGATGCTGAGGGGGAAGGAGAAGTGGCATCATCTACTGGACATGCACAGGGCGTTATAGGAGGTTGCCATTCAACTTTACTACAGTACATACCTCTTTCCCCTGCTTTGGAAGTCACCATTCATATGACAGTGTAAACACAGGAAGATGTACAGAACAGTAATGTTTTTGAGGCATTTTTGGGGGGTAAAAAAGTGGGTTTTTTAAAACTACAGTAGGAAATAGACAGCAGGGAGAGATGGAAGAGGAGAAGCTGGGGAAGTAATGCTCGAACAAGTGTGGACTGTGAAATAAGTCGTTGGATGGAGGGGAAACAAATGTTTATGGTGGATCAAACTTCAAAGGTTCACATGGAGCATACTTTGGGGGATTTATTGGTTCAACATGCTTTGTGAGAAAGGAAACCTCTTCATGGCCCAATGAACATGCTTTATGATCACAATTATGTTGTGCAAGCTACAGTGCTTTGAATCATTTAAATAGGTTTACTCTCACTTTTATGCCTACAAACCCACCCATTTGCTACAATGTCTAAAGAGCTCAATGTCTGCCTTGAAAGGTGCCTGTTGCCATAGTGGCGCACATGCCATACAGGGGGGTCGTGATGAGGACTGAGGAGGAGAAAAAGAAATAAAAATACTGTACCGATTGATCTCCAGAACTTGTGACTGCCGCCTGTCAAGCATATTCAGAGAGATACAATAAATCTGCTTTATCTGTATTTACTAAGATCACATTGGATCACCTTCAGATCTACACAACTTAACATGCTCATCATGCTTTCCTATCAGCTCAGTGTTCACAGCAGTAAACAGAGTACGATGAGAAACTGGTTTAGTGGTGGAAAGAAGCAAAGTACATTAAAGTTAATGTGGAGCTACTTTACTAGAACTGTTTGACTATAATATATCTGAACTTATACTTCATACTCCATTACATTTATCTAGTTAATTTAGTTAGTAGAACGTTTAAAATTAAGGATTATCAATATGCTTACAAAATAAAATGTATTGTTTTTGACTAGACCAGTGCTATTCAATGTGTTTGATCACTATGCTGGTGTGACTGAATTACCCCTCTAAAAGTTGCAGGTGATTTAATTTGGATACTAAAAACTAGGTGTTTAATAATTCAGTTGTGCCATATTTCACAAAACAATTGAGAAAGAGGGGAAAGAAACTATCTTGCCTACATTCCAAATAAATATTTCCCACTACTGTTATAACTCTGATGCATTAATCGTCACAAACTGAAAGTCCTATTTTCAAATTCCTGCAGAATACTTCAAGTACATTTAACCCCTAATACTCCTGTACTACTGGAAGCTGGACTTCTGGTGATGTCTTTTTAAACTGTTGAACTGACACTTAAGTTGAAGATGGGAGTACCTCTTCCACCACTCTCTATATTGTCTTATTATAGAGCACACAGACAGTTCAGTGTCTGTTTACCTTTCTGTTTATTCTGTCTACCTAGAATAAAATGTCACTATTTTTTAATGCCTATAGCAACTCTGCAGCGCTGAACTATGAACTGTGATTCCAGCAAAGAACTGCACAGGTATCATTTTCTCTCTAAGTTACCGTCTCTGTTCAAACATCACGCTTTGATTCTATGCAGGCATGCTTTGTCAAACACCAATTAAAGCTTTCCTTAAATAAATTAATCTTTGAAATTGTCTTTTTTTTTCAGTCAGCCATAGATGAAAGCTGTTTTATTTATAGAAAACTGATAATAAGACTAACACCCTGTTGTGGGGCGGAGTGAGATAAAAGTGAGCGTATAGAGGGAGAGTGGTTAGAGAGGGTTCTCACTCACCTCCGCATGGTGTTCCTGGTTCTGCTGGAGGACCTCTATGACTAACTCCGCCAGGCGAATTGTTTCCTCCAGCTTTTTGGCAGGCGTGACTAAGCGGCCTACGTTCTCTGAGACAAAAGGATGAGGGTGAGGGATGAGTGGTTAGTCAAGCACAGAGCAGGATTCCTTGGGGATTTTTTTATTTTTATGACTATTGAGAAAGATTCTTCCTGTTTATATTTTTGACTGTTTAATAGAATAATAAACACAGTGCTTACACTGTGATGTGGAGCTAAAATATCCCCATTACAAGTGAAGCACGTTCTCACTCATATGCATTTTGAGTTGCATGACATAAAGCAACAGAGCTGATGTGTTCAAAGGTGTCAGGCGCAAGAGTGGTGACGCTGAGATGGAGGTGCAATGTAGCATCCAGAACATGCATAATGTGAGGCAATACTGAATAAGGCATCTGTATAAGGAGCTGTCATATGACATGGTAAACTAAATATACACACACACTGTAAAAATAAATCATTACTTTTGATTAAAGGTTCCCATTCAATTTATTTATTTTCATTAAATTAAATTACATTTTTCTTTGGGTTTTCTATTCATAAAGGTCTATAATGTGAAATAAGTCAAATCAATTCTCTTTTTTTCATCATTTATTTATGTTGCTATAAAATGAAATTATATTTAAAAAGTAACACAAAATTCAACAATATTATAAAGAGAGAGACAACTTTGAATAAAATATGTTTGTTAAAATTGTATTTAAAACATTAAAGGGATACTTCACCCATTTGCATTAAGCTTTGTATCGTTAGAAACCTGGTGGTATTTTTAAATGGTCATGCATCCCACCCTCATTTTCCCCTGAGATGAGAAATCTTTGTATTTCTAAGTCTGAAAAGGAGCTTCCAGTGGCGCAAAAATCGTAATTTTGTGTCACTGGAAGCTGTCGTGGTTAGCGGTGTGAAACTACAATGCTAGTTCCTCATATTTTCAATCACTGAAGCTACAGACCAATCACAGATCACTCACTCCCAGAATCGAAACTTAACATCCGCCATATTGCTTGGAAGCTATGCTAACAGGCTGTATGGAGAAAGCTGATGATGGCGAAAAAATATAAATATAGCGGCGAGACGGCTGCTGCCAACAGCCCGGTTTTGTGTTTTGGCTGCTGCAGCCTTCCGCCGCTGGCCTCCAGGGCCGCCGCCACACAAGACCGGCCTGTCGGCAGCAACTGTCTCGCCGCTATATTGCTATATTGCTGGCCTCCGCCGGCTGCTGCCAGCTCAGCAGCCGAGTCATAAGGCCTGCCTGTCGGCGGCAGTGAGGACGAGGAGCCCGGGTCGGCTTGAGCTGGGGCGGACTGGTAGTGTCGGTGCTCTCACTGTTTGCCTATGTACACTGACATAGAGTCTGTTTTCTGACAGGAATTTCCAAGATCAATTCTAGACGAAATCTCGGAATCAGTTGAGGAAATTGCCTTATGTGTTGAAGTAAATATGTCTGTAAATGTTTTTTTTAAATGTCTGTTTTCTTCTTAAAAAGCATTTAAGAGTGCTTATTTTATTGTTAATAGCCTAATGAGTGAGCTTAAATCTCGAAAATAAATTAAAAAGCCAAAAGAAAATTGAACAGGTGACTGCATATGTGTTTTAATGAATTATTTTTACAGTGTGATTAGTTTGATATGGAATCCATGGTTCTTTTCACACTAAAAAGGGATTTGGCCCTCTGTCGCTTATTTATTTCATAAGACAGTTACATGTCATGAAATGAGAGATTTCATACGACTACACTGATGTGTATACAATTTGAAACAACATAGAACCAAATGGCTACACA